AATACTTAAATAACTCCATTTCTGAAAAAATAAATTGAAGAAGCCATCAATGAACTCCCTAAGGAAAAAATCTGCAGGGCCAAATGGATTGACAAGTGGATTTTATCAAACACTTAAAGAAAAATTAATTCCAATACTGTATAAACTATTTGGGAAAACAGGTGAAGAACGAGTCCTACCAAATTCTTTTTATGATACAAATATGGTGCTGATACCTAAACTGGAAAGAACCAAAACAGAAACAAAATTATAGACCAATTTCCCTAATGAATATAGATGCAAAAACTTTAGATAAAATACTAGCAAAGAGATGGTAGCAATTTATCTTGAGGATAATACACTATGACCAGGTATAATTTATACCAGGAATGCAGTGCCGGTTCAATATTAGGAAAACTATCAGTATAATTGACCGTATGAACAACAAAACTAACAGAAATCATATGATTATCTCAATAAATACAGAAAAAGCATTTGACAAAATACAACACCCATTCCTATTAAGAACATGAGAGAGCATAGGAATGAATTTAATGTTCCTTAAAATGATAATTAGCATCTATCTAAAACCATCAGGAAGCATTATATGTAATGGGGAAGCATTTCCAATAAGATCAAAGGTGAAACAAGGATGTCCATTATCCCTATTGTTTTTCAATATTGTAGTAGAAATATTAGCATTAGCAATAAGAGAAGAAAAAGAAATTGATAGAAGTAGAATAGGCAAAGAAGAAAGAAAGCTATCATTCTACAGATGATATGATGGTATACTTAGAGAATCTGAGAGAATCAAGGAAAAAATTACTTCAAATAAACAAATTTCACAAAGTTGTGGGATATAAAATGAACCCACATAAATCATTGGCATTTCTATATATTACTGACAAAGCCCAACAGCAAGAGATAGAAAGGGAAATTCCATTTAAAGTACCTGTAGACATTATAAAAGGTTTGGGAGTCTAGCTGCCAAAACAAAACCCAAAACTATATGAACATAATTCCAAAACACTCTTCACACAAATAAAATTGGATCTAAATAATTGGAAAAATATGAGTTGCTCACGCATAGGCTGAGCTAATATAATAACAATGACAATTCTTTCTAAATTAATTTACTTATTCAGTGCTATACCAATCAAACTACCAAAATTTATTTTATAGAGCTAGAAAAAAGAATAAAATTCATATGAAAGAAGAAAAAAGTTCAGAATGTCAAGGGAAATAATGAAAAGAAATGCAAAGGAAGGTTGCCTAGCCATACCAGGTCGTAAATTGTGTTATAAAGCAGCAATCATTAAAACTGCTTGATACTGGCTAAGAAAGAGTGGTGGATCAGTGGAATAGGTTAGGTATGCAGGACACAGTAGTCAATGACTATAGTAATCTACTGTTTAATAAACCCAAATGTGAGGGATTGTCTGATGTTAGCTACATGCCACGTTGGGGTTGTGGTGAGGAGGGGCTAGGAAGGTATATAAGGGGCAGTAGGGATCGGAGCTTGCTCTCTTGTCCTGCTCTTGCTTTCCTGCTTGGCCTTGCTGTGATGATCTCCGAGTAAAGTTCGAGTGCTTGCACCTCCTGATCGGCTCATCTCTATGTTTATCCGGGTGGGCTCCGAAGACTGGTAGGTGTGACCCTGGCAGCCTGCTCCTGTTAGGAGGAGAGTGCACAGCATGGCCGGCACAAGTGGCACCCAACGTGGGGCTCGAGGAAATAGACCAGGGGCCCCGCGGATCAGCTGGTCTGGTCGCGGGAAGAGAGACGAGACCTGTAGCCTACAGGGTGGGGGAAGGAAGATGGGACAGACGTTTGTTAAAGTCCTGGATTGGGAGGTGCTAGGGGGAGAAGTATATAAAATAGTGAAAGAAGCAGAAATCAGTGGTGAGGAAGAATCAGGGAGTGAGGCAGAGGACACCGGAAACAGGAAATGGGAGAGTAGGTGGGGGGAGAGAAAGGAAGAGCAAAGCAAAGAAAGCTCTGCCTATCCCACGGAGGGGTGGCCCCCTCCTCCAGACTTCCCTTTTGAGGAGAAAGGTCCGGGGTATTTAAGTCTTACAGATCCTGATGGCTGGAGCCTCTGGGTATCAGAAAGAAGAACAAAACGAGTTTAAGAAGCCCCAGGAGAGACAACAAGGATGGGAGAAGGAACACAGATGACAGAAAATTCAGAGAGAGCAGAAGGAAAAGACAGTTAGGATGACTAAACTGAGTAAACTGTTTTCACTTTTTTGCGCAATCAGGACTTTGCCACAGGTTGCGTCAGCTCCAGTGCCCTGGGCACCCCTGTCCAAGGCCACACTGCAGCAACAGGAGGAGGCGGGAGTGGAGAGATGGATCCTGGTAGAAGGTGCTCAAAGACAAATCCTGACGTGGGAAGAGGCTACTCCTGAGATCATCTTACAGGGCAGCTGGACCCTGAACTCCACATTGTACCTCCTCGGCATTCGCCACCTTACACTGACAAAAGCTAAGAGCCCTGCCAATTGGTTCCTCACTGCTGAAGATGCCAGGTGGGAGGAGATAGGTAAAGCAATCAATTATTGTCGACACAAGAGAGAATGGCTGGGGGCACTTGCGTTGGCGGCATCCATCTTCGAGGAGTTCCAGATACAGGACTTATATAGCGGACAGCAATTGCTTGCCTCACAAATAGAGGAGCTGGCCAATAAATTCGCCCACGCCCTCCAAGTGCAGGCTGATATTGATCAGCAGCTGGAGGAGCAGATTCATAAAATAGCATTGGCTACCCAGGACATTGGGAATGAACTTATGTGGCTGGAATTGAGACAGCAGTTGCCATGCGATGGCCGATATTGATCCATTTGTGTAACACCCTTAAACCATAACGCCACTTGCGACGCCCTTTCACAAAGCATAAATGATTCAAGCTACAGATCTTTCCTCTGAACTCCAGGCTTTGCGGGTGTTAATTAGACTGGCGTGGAACATATCTGACACTTGGCACCGGCACGAGACTGATGGTGTTGTTCATCACCTTGGCGATTGGATTGGGCATACCTCTTTCCCTATCCCCTCCCTGGTGGCCCATTGGGCATTTATAGATCTTTTTGCATTTATACTGTTATTGTTACTACCCACTATATTAGGGTGTTTCCTTAGGATTCTTAGAGGTTCATTAGAGGCACTCAAAACCGAGGCCCTAGTCTTGAGACCCCGTCTCCGCCTCCTTGATTAAACAAAAAGGGGGAGGTGTGAGGGATTGTCTGATGTTGGCTACGTGCCACATGGGGGTTGTGGCGAGGAGGGGCTAGGAAGGTGTATAAGGTGGGTAGGGATCGGAGCGCTCGCTTGCTCCTGCTCTCTTGCTCCTGCTCTTGCTTTCCTGCTTGGCCTTGCTGTGATGGTCTCCGAGTAAAGTTCGAGTATTTGCACCTCCTGATTGGCTTGTCTCTATGTTTATCCGGGTGGGCTCCAAAGACTGGTAAGTGTGACCCTGGCAGCCTGCTCCTGTTAGGAGGAGAGTGCATGGTGCGGCCGGCACACCCAAAGACTCCAGCTTCTGGGATAAGAACTCACTATTTAACAAAAACTGCTAGGAAAACTGGAAAATAGTAAGCAGAAACTAGGCATAGACCCACATCTTACACCATATACCAAAATAAAGTTAAAATAGTTACACGATTTAGATATAAAAATATTATAAGCAAACTAGGAGAAAAAGGAATATCTTACCTGTCAGATTTTTGGATAAGGGGAGAATGCATGACCAAATGAGATAGAGAACATTATGGAATGCAAAATGGATGATTTTGATTACATTAAATTGAAAAGCTTTTGCATAAACACAACTAATGCAATCAAGATTAGAAGGGAAGCAGAAATACTGGGAAACAATTTTTACAGTCAATGTCTCTGTTAAAGGCCTCATTTCTAAAATATGTAGAGAACTGAATTAGATTTATAAGAACACAAGTCATTCCCCAATTGATAAATGGTCAAAGGATATGAACAGGTAGTTCTCAGATGATGAAATTAAAGCTATCTATAGTCATATGAAAATGCTCTAAATATTGATTAAAGAAATGCAAGTCAAGACAACTCTATGGTACCACATCATACTGAACAGATTGGCTCACATGACAAAACAGGAAAATGATAAATGTTGGAGAAGATATGGGAAAACTGGAACACTAATGCATTTTTGGTGGAGTTGTGAACTAATCCAATGACTCTGGAAAACAATTTGGAACTATGCCCAAAGGGTTACACAATGGTGCATACCCTTTGACCCAACAATACCACTGCTAGGTCTGTATCCCAAAGAGATCATAAAAATGGGAAAAGGACCCAGATGTGCAGAAGTATTTATAGCAGCTCTTTTTGTTGTGGCCAAGAATTGGAAATTGAGGGGATGCCCATCAATTGGGGAATGACTGAACAAGTTGTGGTGTATGAATGTAATGGAGTAGTATTGTTCCATAAGAAATGATGTTCTGAAGTCTGTGGACTTCAGAAAAACCTGGAAAGACTTACCTGAACTGATGCTGAGTGAAGTGAGCAGAACCAAGAGAACGTTGTACACACTAACAGCCACATTGTGCAATGACTAACTTTGATAGACTTAGCTCTTCTCAGCAATGCAAGGATCTAAGACAACTTCAAAAGACTCAGGATGAAACATTCTATCCACATCCAGAGAAAGAACTTTGGAGTCTGAATTCAGATGGAAGCATACTATTTGCTCTCTCTCTCTCTCTCTCTCTCTCTCTCTCTCTCTCCCTCTCTCTCTCTCTGTTTCTGTGTCAATGTGTCTGTCTCTCTGTCTCTCTCTTTCTCTCTCAGTTTTGTTTTGTTTTGTTTCTTCTTTCTCGTAGTTCCTCCCATTGGTTCTAATTCTTCTTTACAATATGACTGATATGAAAATTTTAAAAAATATTTTAAGTCAGAAAATATTATTTTGGTAAGCAAAAGTCACTAAGATTAAAAAAAAATACAGTATCTATTACTTTGAGAAAAAGACTTTTTCTTTAGGAACCCACCTGTCTGGTTGGAAATCTTCCCTTCAGGGCATGGGGTACAATCAAAACAGCAGATAGGTTGGCTCTCATGTTTTGTCTTCTTAAATCCAGGGCCACAGTATAGACTGCACATGGAAGTTGGAGTCTGTGTTTCCACCATAGAAAGGGAAAAAATGTGACTTTAAGAATGACTGCTGAAAGATAGATGCACTAAGTGGATGATGATTTCAGATCTTTCTTTTGGAAGACATTTAGAATAAAGTATTTGCAATCTACAGGTCAAGAATGATTTACTTCTCAATGGAAACTTTTCCCCTTTGTTACCATCTTGTGCTCCATGTCATCTTTCCCCCAATGAATCTGCACAGATTCTCCAGTAGACACAATTAAGCTCTTTGATTTTTTTTAACTGTAATCTGTTGCTAGCACATTTTCCCCCAATTACTTCATACTAGTGCCCTCCATTTTTTGAAAGAGTAGTGCTGAAATAATTAATTAACCATGCAACGGGGAATATTCTTCATTTTTTTTCACAAAAAAGTCTTGTTTTTTGTGTTTTCATAAGGTATCTTGAATGGTTCTGGGAATCATGACTTTAAAGAGTATATACTGTTCATCTTGATTGAATCTAAGTAAGAAGCAGATGACTTGATTGGCCAATCTTATTCTTGGGCTGATATTTAGAGTCTCTTTTGGAGACCACTGTGAAGGGTGGGGTGGGATTTGTCAAATCACATAGACAAGTGAAACTGCTTTATACACATAAACATATACATATACTTACAGAGACACACACACAAACACACACACATATATATGTATATATATATTTGACAGTTGCAAAAGATATAACCACAATATTTATATTAAGAATCTCTAAAAGCCATTGTCTTTCTTGGGGACACAAACTCAGAATAACTTATTTATGTAGCTGCAGGATTCCAGATATTTGATAGTCTTTGGTGCAATAAGATCCTTTGGGGAAAATTTTTTCCCTCTTCTCCACCCTATTACTATTCTTCAAACTTGACCACTTGATCTGGGATATTTCAAGTTTCTCTTCCTATGAACAATTCACATTATTATGTAACTTAGCTAGAAAGAATTTGAAAGTAGTGTTGAAAAAAAGGAAATCAGAGCTCTGTCTTTGAGCAAAAAAGAAGAGTAAGTGGATGCTAGAGCCTTGCCACAGTCATTTCCAGTGTCTCTAGGGAATGTCCTGGTGCAATTAAGAAACAACATTATCTTTGTGCCTTTTCATGTAAAGGAATTTACCCTTTTCTGCCTCCTACTTTCCTCTTCTCCCAGTATAATCCCTTTATACCACTTATTAAGATTTTTATCATCACGTCAAAGTCAACTTATGCCTATGCCCTCTGTCTATGTATACCCCTTCTAAATGTCATAATAATGATATAGTTCTCAAGAGGTCCAAGTATCATCTTTCCTTGTAGGGATGTAAACAGTTTGCCCTGATTGGATATTTTTTCCTTTCCTGTTTGCTTTTTTATGTCTCTCTAAATTCTTTGCATTTGAAGATCAAATTTTCTGTTGAGCTCTGGTCTTTTCATCAGGAAGGTTTGGGAGTCCCCTATTTCATTGAATGTCCATCTTCTCCCCTGATAGATTATGCACAGTTTTGCTGGGTAAGTGATCCTTGGTTGTAATCCAAGCTCCTTTGCCTTATGGAATATCACATTCCAAGTCCTCCAATCTTTTAATGTAGAAGCTGCAAGTTCGATGGTATTTAAATTGTTTCCTTCTGGCTGCTTGCAGTATTTCCTCCTTTACCTAATAATTCTGAAATTTGTCTACAATATTTCCTGGAAGTTTCAGTTTGAGATTTCTTTCAGGAGGTGATTGGTGGATTCTTGTGATGACTATTTTACCTTCTGATTCTATGACGTCAGGGCAGTTTTCTCCGATGATTTCCTGAATGCCGCTGTCCAGGCTCTTTTTCTGAACACGGGTTTCAGTTAGATCAATAATTCTTAAATTATGTCTCTTGGATCTATTTTCCAGGTTAATTGTTTTTCCAGTGAAGTGTTTTACATTTTCTTCTGTTTTTTCATTATTTTGAATTAACTGATTTATTTAACTTATTTTTAATGTCTCTATCCCAAAGAGATCATAAAAATGGGAAAAGGACCCAGATGTACAAAAAATATTATTGCAGCTATTTTTTTTTGTACTGGCAAAGAATTGGAAATAGAGGGGATGCCCATGAATTAGGGAATGGCTGAACACATGGTCTATGAATGTAATAGAATGTTATTGTGCTGTAAGAAATGATGAACAGGTGAACTTCAGCAAAACCTGGAATGACTTACATGAACCGATGCTGAGTGAAGAGAGCAGAACCAGGAGAACATTGTACACCCTTACAGGCACATTCTGAAATGACTAACTTTGATAGACTTAGCTCATTTCAGCAATGCAAAGATCTAAGACAACTCAAAAATACTCATGATGGAAAAAGCTATCCACATCAAGAGAAAGAACGATGAAAACTGAAAGCAGATCAAAGCGTACTATTTGCCTATTTGCCCTCTCTTTTTGTTTCTTTCTTCTTTCTTGTGCTCCCTCCCATTGGTTCTAATTCTTTTTTACAACATGATTAATGTGAAAATATATTTAATGTGAATGCATATGTAGAGCCCATATCAGATTGCACACCATCTTGGTGAGTGGAGTGGTGAAGGAGGGGGAGAAAATTTAAAACTCAAAATATTATGTAAGTGAATGTTGGAAACTAAAAATTAATTTTAAAAAGAAAGAAAAAAAAAGAAACAACATCGTCCTGGGTATTGGACAGGCAAAGTGATAAGGCTCAGTTGATTTACTGGCCCCTTACCTGAGAGAAATCTTCTGGCCAATCCGTGTCTTCTTCATTAATGCTGAATCCCTGATCATGAGGAGTCACTTCACCCACTTTCACCAGTGTCTCAGTTTGAAAAGAGAAGTATTTAAAATTCAGGATATCATATGTCTCAACAGCCACCCTGGATCCTTCCCCACATGACTTGTCACTGGCACTATTGACAGGACCGGTGCACTTCAGGAAGTGGTGAAGCTGAAGGCAAGGAGAGAAATTTGTTAATCCATGGGGAAAGTAGGATTCATGCCCATGTCCCAGTCTGCACTATCAACACAAAATAGGCTCTGAATTTGAAGCTTGTATGTTTTTATCTTCTTTGTCACCAAAGCAAAGTTCTATAGTCTGAGTTTTTTCCACTGTTTGCTCATGTTCCCAGGCAATTACTCAACTTCTTGACTCTGTGAAGGTAGGGCTCCAGTGTGGAGGGTGTACTATCCCAAGCTTTGGGGGTTTTGTGTAGCTTTTTTCGGAGACATTTCTAGGGAACTGTAAATTTTCAGTTCTTCCAAGGTGGTATGATCAGGGGTGAGGTGTTTATTTCTCTCCTGGCCTGTGTTCTGGTCTATGAGTGACCACAAGCACTCTTTTCTGTCTTGGAACTGTGAGGCATATTCCCTCTCCACCGTAGCCACAAGCTCTGCCTCATAGTGATCCTCCTCACCCCAGGACCGCCACTCAGACTGAGATCCAGATCCAAGCACGGGCAAAGCAAGAGAATTCTGTCTCAGTGCCAGCAAAGAGACTGCTGAAATCCCCTTCTGGTCAGCCACTCAATCCCCTCACTGTCTATGGGCCAAGAGCTCTAGAAGCAACTGCGTTGCTGCTGCCCCAGGGCTGCACCAGGGCTGGGATGGGAACATGCTTTTCTGTCACTCATATTTGATGGACTTTTCCTATTGGTTTTCTAAGTTGTCTTTGGCATTTGTGGGTTGAGAAGTCTGGAAACCACCACAGCTGTAAGTGATTCAGTCCCCTGAGGCCTGCTCCAGGTTCACGGGGGCCCTGGCTTTGCTGGCATGGCCCACACTGAACTGTGCTCCCCTCTCAGTCTGATAGAACAGATCTTTCTCATCAACCATCCAGGCTGTCTTGGGTTGGAAATTTGTTTCACTTTCTATTTTTGTGGATTCTGCTGCTCTAGGATTTGTTTAGAGTCATTTTTACAGGTATTTGGAGAGGTTTGGGGGAGAGCTCAAAGCAAGTCCCTGCTTTTACTCTGCATCTTGGCTCTGCTCCCAAGAAGCAGAATTTTCAACAAAGGCTAGAAAATTCTTTTGGATACATAGGATCTAAATGTCATCATTCAATGGAAAATAAGTCTGGATAAAATTAAATATTGGCAGATTTGATCTCCTTGCTGCCCAAAAGACTGTCATAAGTCTTCTCCAGCACCACAATTGAAAAGGATCCTTTCTGTAGCACTCATCTCTCCTTACAGTCCAAATCTTGCAGCCGTACATTGCTACTAAGAAAGAACCATAGCTTTGACTATAGAAGAAATAGAGTAGCCCTTAGAGTAAATAAAAGGGTGAGAAAAGCAATACTAGGGTATTGTCTAAAAAATGACAGAATGATACCTATTGGAATCCAAGGCAAACTGCTGAACATCATAACACAAGTCTATACTCCAATGACTGATGCCAAAGAGGTCAAAGGTATTAGTTCTATAAATACCTGCAGCATCTGTAACAATTCACACACACACACACACACACACACACACACACAAATAGCACATTCATCATAGTGGATCGTAAAGCTAAAGTATGAAATCAAAATTAAATTAGAATAACAGGCAAGTTTGGAAATGTTCAAAAGGAAGAAGAAATACATATAAGAAAGTCATTTTATATCATACAAATTTACTAATCCAGAGCAATAAATAAGAAAAGCAAACAAAATATATAGGAAAAATCAGATGAACATAGCTTTTAGCATCAAATTTCCTAGCTAGCCAAATTATGTATAGCAGTATATTTGTGCACTCATGTAGTGTGTGTGTGTGTGTATGCTTCTCTACATTAGTATATGAACCCTGAGAATTCAAAAAGTTCCCGATAATGGGCAAAGCTTCCAAAAACTTGGGCATTACCAAGACAAAGTGTCCTTAACTTTCTTGAAGGTGAACAATCAAAGCATTAACAAGTCATTAGTAGGGGAAAATTATTGCATTCTCTATAAGGTATTAGAGAAATATAAAGAGACAACAACAAAGAAAACAACATCTTACAGCAAGGAATAAAAAGAACCTTGAACAGGAAAGAAGGAGACATGGCTAGAAATATTTAGCATAACCTGTAAATGAGTATCACAATAAAGTCAAAGTTAATGAAGAAAATGGGGGAATGGGTACAGTAGATAATCTTTAAGTCTCCAGGCCAAATAAAAGAAAGTCCTTGAAATTAGCTCATTAAAAAGTATTTATAAGGCAGAGCCAGGATGGCAGACAAGAGGCAGCAACCCAGCTGAATTCTCTCAATGTTCTCCTTCAAACATACATCCAATTAAATTCTGGAGCAGCATAGCCAATAAAAGGTCAAGATGAGGCATTTTCTTAGCTGAAAAGAACTTACAAGTTTCAAAGAATAGATCTGTGATGCCTTGTTGGGGCCTAAACCAGAGGTGACATTGTGAAAAGAAAAGCAGTGGGGATTGGAAGCAACTGCAGCAGCAGCTGTAGTGGCTTCAGGAACTCAGCCCAAAGACTTTCCAGGGCAGAGAGGAGCACAAGCCTCTCTTGGAACTGTAGAGGAGCAGGAAACCTGGCCACAGTTCAAAAGCAGAAGATAGTGTTTCTGCTTGCAATTACAGAAGAGTAGAGTTGCTGTCTGGGTGAAGACCAGATCCCAGACAGCAAGAGCCATGACTACACTTCTCCTTGGAGAGCAACACCTCAGAAGCACCAATAACCTGTAGATCCCCAGAACCGGCTCTTAAAAGAACTGCGTCAAAAGGCCTAATGCTTGAGACAGTGCCCCCTACACCCACCCAAGATCACAGCACAATGTTAAGGTAAAGTTCAAAATAAAGAAAGAGTCTGGGAAAATGAGCAAACAACAGAAAAGTATCTGATGGTGGCAGAAAAGATCAAGACACAAACTCAAAATAAGACAATAATGTAAAAACAGCAACAAGCAAAGCCACAAATATACATGCAAATTAGACATAACCATAACAAGAATTCCAGAAAAACTGAAAGAAAAAGATAATAGTGTGTGAGGAAAATTTGGGGAAAGAAATGAGTGTGATGCAAGAAAAACAGCTTAGGAAAAGAGGCACAAAATATAATGAAGAATATATCACCTTAGAAAACAAAATTAAGAGCAGAGCCAAGATGACAGAGTAAAAGCAGGAGATTGTCTCAACTACCACCAAATCACCTTAAAACAACATGAAAATAATGCCCCAAGGGGCAGCTAGGTGGTGCAGGGGATAGAATCCTGAGAGTCAGGAGGACCTGCGTTCAAATCCAGTCTCAGACCAAACACTTGACACTTACTAGCTGTGTGACCCCGGGCAAGTCACGTAACCCCAATTGCCCCCCAAAAAAATTTAAAAAGAAAGAAAATAATGCCTCAAAAAAAATTCTAGTGTGATAGAACTAAAAAAAGGAGAGAGTTAAACAATTTTCCAGCCCAAGACAATTTAAAAGATCAGCAGTAAAGGTCTGTCTCAGTAGAGTAGGTGTGTAGTGTAGTCCAGAAAAGGCCATACCTACACAAGCCAGCGACTCTCCCCAAAAAGTTAATACCCACAATACACTCCTAAGTTTAATTTGCATTATTAACATTTTATTAACAATCACTTTGTTTCCAGCTGGTCTTTTTTCCCCCTAGACAATCACCAAATAAATCAAGCCTTGATTTATAGCAATAAAAAAGAATGTATTCCAGAAGTGTTCCAGGATTCAAAGATGAGTGTGCTATGCTACAGTTAATATTAATGGTAGTCATCATAGTAATAATTATAGTAGGTGCCATGGTGGTGGTAGTAGTAGTAGTAGTAGTAGTAGTAGTAGTAGCAGCAGCAATAGTAGTAGTAGTAGTAGTTGTTGTAGTAGTAGTAGAAGAAAAAGAAGAAATCACTAGAAGTAGGAGAAAATATTATTGTTATATAATTGTACATTTTAACATGTATTTTACATTATATACATTATATAATTACATGATATTGTACAATTAGTAATTACTTTATTAATGATAACTATAAGAATAATTATCTTCTTTTAGAAAAATAAACATTTATAGAGTACTTATTATGAGCCAGACTTTGTGCTAAGTAATTTACAAATAAAATTTTCTTTTATCCTCTTCACAAACCTTAGAGGTAGGTACAGTTATTGTCACCATAGTATCATAGAGGAAACTGAAACAAATAATGACTTGCTCAAGATCACATAGCTATTATGTATCTGAGGCTAGATTTTAAGTGTGATCTTACTGACTCTAGACCAAGTATTAAGTTAATTACCAGAGTCATCTAGTTCTTAAAAGAGAAAACAAATAAATAACCAAAAAAAAAATATGAAAGAATAAAATAGACAGTTCACAGAAGGCTGGAGCTTCTCCTTCTGATTTATGAGCACAGATCCAAAGCTTTAAAATTCTCTCAGAAAGCATTCAGTTGATGTGATGCTTGGTCCTTGGGTTATATTAACCTTGCTCTGGTCTGACTTTTCTCTAAGAGCTCATTTACTAAGTTCATTTGCTAATTGAGAGAATGGTTATGGGGATCTCATTATCTGATTCACATCCAGACCAAATAATTCCTTATGAAGTGTTTTATTATTTTTTCTATTGAAAAACTTATTTTGAGTGGATGGTAAAAAAAGGAAATGATAATTAAGTAGTCACTTTTTAACTGTCAATTATCATTTTTCCATTCAATCAAACTGTGTTCTCATCTATTCTTCAATCATCCTCTTTCAAGCAATCTAAAATCTGCAAAAAGTAAAAGAAAAAAATATTTTTTCTATTAACCTCATTTCCTCACCAGAGTCAGATAATTCTCATCTTTGGTTCTCGTGGCACTATCTGTACAGGGTTATTTCTTGTTTTCTCATGGTAATCTCTTCCACGCACTTTCTTCTTTCTCCTGTGCTAATCATGTATACATCTGAGTTGTTGGTTGAGTTTTTCATGCTTCATCATTGCTCTATACAAGCAACTTCTCTTTTTCTTCCTCATTGGTATCATTTCTCTTTTTGACTACTGAATTACCATCTTAGAACTTCCTATCTATCCTGAGATGACTGATCTTATAGAACTTCAAACCATAGAAATTTTCTCATTGACTGGTTTGGAATATACTCTACAAATCTAGACTGCTGATCATTCTATACCCAGATATCCTCTCGTGTCATAAATTCTACTAGGCTATGATTACTCCCTTTGTGTCCTATTTCTAACATTTCCACCACAGTAACCAGTTCCTTGAATCACTAAAAATTATATCTAGAATATAGTTGCCAATGATGGATTCCTTACATTTAAAAAAAATAATACATTATTGCAGCAAGTGGACCCATGCACAAATATCAACTCTGCTGCCCAGCTATAGATGTTGATTGAAGTTAAAAATTGATCAATTAGAAATCCCTCAAAGCACCTTGGTCTTTGCAATGTCATGACCCACACCACTGTAATGGTGTTAAATTGGAACCAATTAATGAAACTCTCCTGCCACATAGACTCATACCCAGAGAGATATGTAAAAGGAAGAACATCAACCATTTCACCAAGGTTGTTGTATCAGAGTTGAAAGAAATTTAACGTAATTTCATTGTTTTCACCGAGAATTCAATCTAATTACAAAGGAAAACAAACAAACAAAAAAATTAGGGAAAAAGAGGTAGTATTGAAGACTCAGATCATTGCTATATCATCCATCTATAGAACAGATAACTAACAGTTGAATGTTGAGAGTACCCTGTGGTAAGCCCAGGAGTGGAAAAGAAATGTTACCTTCCAAGAAAGATATGGGTTTCTTCCAAGATCTGATGTCTCTTTTGCCTCAGACTGGAGCATTTGATGGAGGGCATGGGCCACTAAATATACTGCATTGTAAACATTTGAACTCAGTTCCATAATGATCTTGTCAAAATTTATAAAAGGTAAATCTGTCAAGGAAACACCTTCTGGGCACATAGTATATGACATTTCTACATGACTTTTTTCTGAAAGTCTGCAATTAAAGACTGACTCAAAGAAAGTCCTTAGGAACATGTCCTCAGAGTTCACACTGGGATTCAGGCTTCTTACAAAATCTGTGAAACCAAGAATCTCCATCTGGGAATGAGAAAATAGTATTGTACCATGAAAATAGGTAAGCATTTCCAAATTGCTATCAAAAGAAAAATCCCAAGCAGTGGTGGCCACCAACATTTTCCCATAAAGTACGTAAGAGATGAATGCAAAAGCCAGTTCTTGAAGGGAGTCTGTATCTCCATAGATGAAAATCACATTTGATGAAGATGCAATGATCCTAGAAGAGAGTTTATAATCTTCATCACCTTTAAAGTTTGGGGGCACACTTTCCTTAAAGGCCACACACAGACCATTCCTGTCCATCTCCTCTTTCAGATCACTGAAGAAATTTTCCCCTTTCACATTATCTGAGAGAACTAGTCTCACCCAAGTCCAGTCAAAATGGAGCATCAGTTGGATGAATGCAAGGTGAAGAGTGGATTCCTTGCTGCCTATCTGATAGACATATGGATACTGGACCTTACCAGCCAGGAGAAGATCAAAGAGGCCATAGGTGACCTAAATGAAAAAGAAAGAAGGATGGCATGGTGATTTAAGTTCCTTCAGAGTAGGAATTTGTCCTCCTTTACTTTTGCATATCAAGCAGCTATCAGTGGCTTGCACAGAGCAGATGATGAATACATGCTTGTCAATTTTAATTTATAGTTTCAGGTCACAAAATTTTACTATTATGGAATGTAACAATTTGAAGGAAATTCTAAACCTGTACCTGATCAAGAGTCTTTTCTCCAATGTCTCCATCAAGCAAATATTCAGTCTGTGCTTGAAACATTCCAAAGAGGAAAAATTAAGTTCCCTCCAAAACGAGCATTCCTCTTTTAGACAACTCTACAGATTAGAACCTTTTTTCTTAACTTTGTAAATTAGTCAGCCTCTTTTAATCATTGACTCATTGATCCCATGTCTTTCATGTTGATTGAAATAGAACATTCTTAGTGTCTCCTGCATGAAGCTGTTATGTAAATATTTGAGGATAGTTACACGTCCTCTCTAACTCATCTCATCTCTTCTTCAACCCAAACATCAACAATTCCTTTACCCAGCCTTTCTATGGCATACGTTGCACTCCTCTCATGATTCTAGGGAGAATGGTATTTCCCTGATATCAAGAATTATATCCCACAATTTGTTCTAAAAGGAAAAATTTTGAAATGGTTCTCTCATATACCCTATTTAGATAACAATATCTTTTCCAATGAGTTGGGGTCTGTTCTACCTGCCATATGCTAAGAAAGTATCCTCTCATTTTTTTAATTTTTAATTAATTTATTTTGAATTATCAACAATCACTTCCATAAGCTTTTGAGTTTTATATTTTTCTCCCCCTTCCTCCCCACCTCCCTTCCCAAGATGGCACACAATCTGATATAGGCTATACATATATATTCCTATTAAACGTATTTTCACATTAGTGATGTTATAGATAAGAATTAGAACCAATAGGAAGAACCACCAGAAAGAGGAAAAAAAACAAAACAGAAGAAAAAAAATAGCAAATAGTATGCTTCGATCTGCATTCAAACTCCAAAGTTCTTTCTTTGGATGTGGATAGCATTTTCCATCATGAGGCCTTTGGAGATGTCTTACAACCTTGTATTTGTTGAGAAGGGTTAAGTCTATCAATATTAGTCATCAAACAACATGGTTGTTACTGTGTACAGCATTCTGCTGGTTTTGCTCATTTCACTCAGCATCAGACCATACAAGTCTTTCCAGGTTTTTCTGAAGTCAGCCTGTTCATCATTTCTTATAGCACAATAGTATTCCATTACATTCATATACCACAACTTGTTCAGCCATTCCCCAATTAATGGAAAATAATTTATTCACTCAGAGTCAGGGTTAAGTGACTTGCCCAGGGTCACACAGCTCATAAGTGTTATGTGTCTGAGACCAGATTTGAACTCAGGTCCTCCTGACTTCAGGGCCAGTGCTCTATCCACTGCACCACCTAGTTGCCCCCAAAGTGGAGATAATTACTTTATTTAATTATTTTTTTTTTTTTGGTGAGGCAATCAGGGTTAAATGACTTGCCCAAGGTCACATAGCAAGTAAGTGTCAAGTGTCTGAGGCCGGATTTGAACTCAGGTCCTCCTGACTCCAAGGCTAGAGCTTTATCCACTGCACCACCTAGCTGACCCCTCTCTCTTATTGATTAGAGAAATGCAATTTAAAACAACTATGAGATACTATCCCAAACCAACCAAAATGTCTGAAAGGAGAGAAGGGGTAAAGGATAAATACAGGACGGAATGTGGAAAAATTGGAATACTAATATACTATTGGTGGAATTGTGAACTGATCCAGTTTTTTGAAGAGCAATTTGGAATTACACTCAAAAGGGTATCAAACTATCTGTACAATTTGACCCTAGTACCACTATTAGCTCTATTTCCCAAGTAATTATGAAAAAAATAAACAAACCTATAATTTCTAAAATATTCGTAGCACCTCTCGTAGGGGTGGCAAAGAATTGAAATTGAGTGGATGTCTATCAATTGAGGAATGACTGGATAAGTTGTGGTATATGATTGTAAAGAAATACTACTGTGCTTTAAGAAATGACAAACAGATTGATTTTAGAAAAACATGGAAAGACTCACATGAAACATGCATTGCATAATGAACAAAACCAAGAGAACATTGAACACAATACCAGCAATATGATTCAAATATTATCTATGAATGACTAAGATATTCTGATTGATATAAACATTGAAATCAACTATGAAAGGCTTATGAAAGAAAATGCTATCCACCTCCAGAGAAAGAACTGATATCTGGAACTATGTATTGTATTATTCCACATGTAAATCTATCTCAAATATTGGCCTTAAAGAAAGAAGACTGGGGAGGAAAGGAGAGATAGAACTAGGAACTCAAAATGTAACAAATCAATAATTAAAATTTTGAAAAAATAAAGCATTCCCTCTTATGCGTTGGTTCCTGAGATTATCTGAGAACTTATACTGTAAACAAGAGGACACTGGAACAGCATCAAGTGCTCATGAGAAATAATAATTAATGGAGGAAATGAGTGTTTAAGAACTATGACAACAGAAAAAATTCCTTTCAACAGAAATAATACAAAGCCAAGCCACATTTGATAGATTGTCAATGACTATCAGTTCAAATAACCTAAAGCATATACCACATGCACATTTCTCTGTGGCACATGAAAATTCATTAAATAAAAACTAATATGGATAGAAATCATAACAATGGAAGACCTTCTAAACCACTTAATAGACCAGATAGTGAAATAAGCAAGGTGCAGAAAAGGCACTACAAAACAGATATAATGCCAATACAAAGCAGACACTTAGCATGAAAATTAAGGATTCTTTTAATACGTATGTTTTATGAATATATTCAGTTATACAAAAGGTACACATTACCATGGATATCATTGGTTAGACTAGAAATTGGGCAGATAATTCTAACCATCATGTGACATACAAATTTTTCTTATACGGACATACATGCATATATACTTACATATTTTTCTGTCCCTATAACCTGTGTTAGTCACTGATATAGAATGATCATAGTCTTCCTCACAATGATAATCTCTAAGACCCAAATCTGCCATGGTAAGAGACCTCACTGAGTAGTTCTCTTTCTGGGTTCTGAGGGAATTGTCTATCCATGAAGATTTCTATGTCTGAAGTATTATGTTGAAGTGATATTTCCACTGGATTAATTCAATTCATCTTGATTTGTTTTTTGGAGTAGAGGGTTGCATTTAATTTTTATTTTATTTTTTTTTGAATTATATATAAACACAGAGAGTTAATATTTATTTTCTTATAATATTTTGGTCCAAATTGTCTGACTCCCTGCTTCCTTCCTTGAGATCACAAGCAATTTTATATAGATTATATACCTGGGCAGTCATGCACAATGTTTGCATATTAGCCATATTACAAAATAAAAATAAAATGTAGGCCCAAAACAAAACAAAACAAAAACCAAGAATAATAAAGTAGAAACAAAAAAGAATGTCTCAGTCTGCATTTAGACTCTATCACGTCGTTTTCTGGAGACTGATAGCACTTATCATAAATCCTTAGAAATTATCTTCAATCATTATATTGCTGAGTATAGCTAAGTTAATCACAGTTGATCATTGCATATTGCTGCTGTTACTGTTTAATGTTCTACTGCTATTGCTCATTTCACTTTGCATAAATTCATGTATATCTTTCCAGTTTTTTCTGGAAGCATCCACCTCATTATTTCTCTCGTAGCAAAACAGTATTCAATCACAATCATATAACACAATTTGTTCAATTATTGTTCAACTGAAGGACATCCCCTCAATATCCAATTCCGTGCCAACCCCTAAAAAGCTACTAAAATGTTTTTGGACATACAGGTCTTTTTCCTTTTGCTTTGATCTCTTTGGGATACAGACTTAGTAGTTGTATTGCTGTGTCAACGGCGAGGCACAGTTTTGTAATCCATTGTGACATAATTCAGAATTGTTCTCCAGAATGGTTGAATCAGCCATTTTATCTAGATTTTTGGATTTAATAAAACATAATTGGCCCAAAGAGATCCTAATAATTGATTCAATTTCATCTTCATTTGTGCTGAGTTCAACTTTTTATATTTCATAATGATAATTTAGTTGTCTTCTTTCTTATTTTTTAATCAAATGAATGAATGGTTTATCTTTTTCTTTGTTTTTTTCCCATAAAACCATTTCTTAGTTTAATATAGAAGTTCAATGGTTTTCTTTCAAATATATAAATCTCTCCTTTGTTATTTAATTGGACATTTTTTATTTCTTCTCTTTCTAGTTTTTTTTTCTCCCATGACCAATTCATTGATCTCCTCTTTTTGTATTTTACTGATGTAAGCATTTAGAGATATAAATTTCCCCCTAAGTACTGCCTTGGTTGTGTCCCATAAATTTTGGTATGTCATGTCATTGTTATCATTGTCTTTAATGATATTATTGGTTGTTTATATGATTTGTTCTTTGACTCACCAATGCTTTAGGATCAAATTCTGTAGTTTCCAATTAATTTTAATCCATTTCCCCACAGATCTTTATTGAATATAATTTTACTGCATTATTATATGAAAAGGATGCATTTACTATCTTGGTTTTCTGCATTTGGGTATGCAGTTATTATGTCCTAATACATAGTCAATTTTTGTGATGATGCCATGTACATATGAGAAGAGGTATACTCCTTTCTATTTCCAATCAGTTTTCCCCAAACATCTATGTTATTTAACTTTTGTAAAATTCTATTGGTCTCCTTTAGTCCTTTTTATTTATTTTATGATTAGATTTATCTAGTTCTGAGAAAGGAAGATTGAGGTCCTTGTTCCCCATTAGCCACCAATGCTAGTACTTCTCCTGGCCTTTGGACCGTGAACCAGCCCCTGCTTTCTTGTAGCTATAAGTGCTATTGCTTCTCTGTGTCTTGACATTGAGACCAGGGACCATACTCCAACATGTATGACCACAAGCATTCCTCTCC